CTTAGCAATAATTATAGGGGTAATTATACGGGATATGCTCATATAGTTCACATGCTGATTTTTTTTTTCCCAAGATAAATGCTCAGTGGGAAGCGCTGCATTTAATACAGTCATGTTCTCAGTGGCAAGGACTGCTTGATAACATTTGGTAACATTTTAGAAGTAGTACGTATTACCCCAACAAATGTTTTTCACGCTCTCCGTCCCTCTGCAAACACATACACAAACACAGCACATACATTAGTTAATCAATGAACTGTATATAAAAATGGAATTGAACAAATGGGACAAGTAAACACATGAGAATTAGCTGACAAAACATAAATAGGTCTGTCGAGACCCAGTCAGAGTTACCGACACACCATAGTGTCTTCTTCATAAATCGCCTTTATACGTACAGTCATAGTATCATAATACATAGCAATGTTTCGAGATCTTACATAGTCCCTTCATCAGGCATAGTAATGACTTACATACAAACATGCAAACTAATATACCCAAGTGAGAAGCAGTGCACCAATTCAAATTCATCACTCCCACCCCTTCCAACATCACCCTGATGTCATGTTCCTGCCTTAATCCAAAATAAACTTTGGAACATAGAGCAAATGCAACATAACAGATCAAATGACAGCTATAATTGCAGGTCCTAAGTTGATGGACCTCAGAAATATGTGTCCATCCGATATGCTCATTACATGCCATGTTGTGTGAATGTGCAAATATCAGAATTGTTACTGCACAATCAGTAACATATTATCACAACTAGAAACATGGGCTCAGAGATATAATTAGTATGGCACATATATAACCAGAGACACGTCTGCAGAGACACAATTGGTACTGCACTGACACCAGAAGAAAAATATCTGTAGAAACACAATTCGTTCTGTACTGACACAACCAATTTCCATAGAGCTACAACCAATATTGTGCTAACTGAACCATATATATATGTTTTCACGGACACAGCCAGAAACATGGTTACAGAGACAAAATGCGTACCATATGGACAGATCCAGAAACATATCCGCAGAGACCCAATCAGTTCTGTACCGATACATATAAATATATATCTGCAGAGACATAATGAGTATGGTACTGATGTAACCACAAACAAGTCCTCAGAGGTACAATAACTACTGTACTTACAAAACCAGAAACATCCTCAAAGACACAATCAACACAATACTGCTAGACCAAAAATCATATCTGCAGGGAAAGACAGAACCAGAAAAATATCCTTGGAAGCACAATCAGTATACAGCCAGAAACATGTTCACAAATAGATGGAGGTCTAGCAGATCAGCCTGCAGATATTGGCTGACACCAGGTGACATTTATTAACTGTAATCTGCCTTGGACCTTGAATACTTGGTTGTTACGGTTGAATAAAGACACAGTTCAACACTTTGCACTGAGAAAAGTATCTAGATAGTTCTTGAATCATTCCATACTCTCAGCTGATACCACTGTCTGTGGAAGGGAGTTCCACAATTTTACAGCTCTCACTGTAAAGAATCTTCTTTGCAGCTTAAGATGAAACCTTTTATCTTCCAGTTTCAGATGGTGGCTACTTGTATTCTTGACTGAACTAACAGTAAACAGTTTATTACTGATTATTCCATCACCATTAAACAATTTGTACATGAATATCATGTCCCCTCTTAGTCTTCTCTTCTTCAGAGGGAACAAGTTTAACGCTTGCAGTTTCTCCTCATAGTTTAGGTCTCCTAACCCCCTTATTTGCTTTGTCCCCTTCTCTGGACTCTCTCCAGCTCAAGGTCATCCTTTCTGTGGATCGGTGACCAAAACTGAACCACATACTCCAGAAGTGGCCGGACCAGTGTTTTGTACAGGGGCAGAATTAGTGATTTGTCTTTACAGTACATTCCCTTGTTTATACATGATAGTAAAGTACAGTTGAATTCAGTTAAATACAGTTAAAAGACTCACTGTTCTTTGCACAATAGAATAAAGGGTACTTCTGGACAATGGAGGGAAAATTCAAAAAATTGGCTTTAGAATATTGTGACTCGATATTACATTGTTGGGGATGTTTTGAAGACTAATATTTACCTGCATTAATACAGTGCATCCTGGAAAAGTGTCCGAGTCAGAAAAATGCACTCTGGAGGATGAAAAAAAATGGCAGTACTATGGCACACCCAATTTTGATGGCACCTTGACCGTTAGATGGGATTCAAAGACGTTTAAGGAGAACACAATTAACATTGAAGTGTGGGGTTACGGGGAATCAGGTAAAATGTGAAAGCAATGCACTGTGATCCTTATATTTGAATATTTATTGATTTGTTAATGTCCATGGTGGTCAGATTATCTGTTATACCATTTTATAAAGAGATGTAATTGTTTTCTTCATTATTCAAACTACATTTGGGAAATTAAATTAATTTTTTCATATATTTTTTTTCTTTGCCTTACAATGGCCAGGACAACCTTATTCAGAGACCTGGAAAGCAACCTGGGACTATCTCTATACATTGGTACATAAATATGCCAACAATGGGAGCTACACTTTTACCCCGAATCCAGCAATGCCAGAACATCGCACCTATGAATTTGGAAGCCTAAGGATTTTGCCAAGTCAACATGCTGATGGGGAGAAGTAATTCATTTATCACTCAATTAAACAAAAAAAGCAAATACATGAATATTAATAATATTATTTCATTTGTGCTTTTTCCATTTTGGAAGGGCAGGGAAGGCTCAGAATCCCTGTTGGATTTTAACTGTAGTCTTTATTTCCATTGAGAAGATTTCTCCTCGCTGTCAGCACAGGACATGATGGGAAAGCCCTCTATTGGGGACTGCTTAGAATCACTATCTGGTTGCTGTCAGTCTCATAGTCCTTCTGTCCCAATGACAACCACTTCCCTGATTTCTTGTCCTGCTGTCATATTATTTCCAGCAAGTCCTCACCTATGATGAAAGGGAGTACTCTCATTTTTCCACACCACTACCGAGCAATATAGGTTTCATAAGCTGCAGCAGCTACCTTATATCCCTCCTGTGTTCATGTTTTAAAGAGTATATCCCTCTCCTGCAGCCCTCTCTTCCACATCCATCCTGTAGTTGCCCGCCTCTTACAGCTACTAGTGACAAACCAAGAGATTACAACATCATAAATATCAAAAGGATTTTTATTGTACAAAGGTTAAAAGACATCAAAAACATAATTGATATGTAATGCTTATATTCATTATGATCTATAATTCCTCCACAAAACTACTCCAAAATAAAATATTTTCAAAATCATAGAATGCATGATCCCTCAAACATTTTCTTAGGATCATATGCCAATGAACTTCCACTTCTTTTAAAGATAAAAGAGTAGTTGTTCTCAACGCGTTTTGCACTCCAAGCGCTTCTTCAGGAGATGGAGGAGACCTGAATAACCATGTAATAAATAAAGGAATATACCCATACGGGATAATATCCACCTAATTTGATATTTCAATGTCAGAATGCTGATGGCGTCGCCTACCGATACGGAGAGTAATCCATGCGCATATGTGTTTTGGCCTAGATCAAACAAAGTAAGGGGGAAGAAATCACTAAAAAATCTTACCCAAGACCTAAAGAAGGCCAGGGTCTAATACCCAACCTATAACGCTCTTGAAACACCAATGGCTAAACATATTTGTGTCAAAAAATGATAAGAAAAAAAAAAACATAGTAAAAGTATTCCCTTGGCTGAACATGCTCTGATGAATTGAGAAGCCATGTGGTGTACAAGAGGGATAAGATAGAGAAACAACTAACCTGTTGAGTCCCAGAATAGCCATAGCATAGGTTGTCCCAATCTGTGAGTCACTCCTGGGCCACCGATCTCCACGAGGATGCAAATCATCCACATCTGGACATCGACGGCCTGGGTGGGTCTTAAAATGGCATCTAACGCAATGACGTCGTTGCGCAGCAGCGCCAAGGAGACCCCGCTCCCCAGCCAATAGGCATCAGGCGGCATACACCCCTCGACGCAGCGGCACAACAATGCCAAAACGCCCCAAAAAAGCCAGAAACCTATAAATTTGTTCTACTTTTGATTAAATTAGCACACCTATTTTACATTTGAAATCATAACAAAAGCTTATCTTAAAAGAGTATGCTGATATCCCAGGGTAGGCTATGGGGGTCAAATGTTTTATCTGAGTCTTCCAGCAGCTTTTCATAGGCTAAAAAGCTACAATAAATCATTGGGAGCTAGAAGGTACAGAAGTCCTATTCTTTTGGAAATATGTGGTTTCATTTATGTGAATACAACCTCTTCTATAGTGCTCTGCACAATATGAGCATTCAGAACAGATATCTGACATTTGTATTAAGCAAAACAAATGACAAACGCACTCAACAATTTGTCACCAGCTATACAGTAAGGTGCACACGAAATGGGCTTTGAACAGTAAAACAGTAGAAAGGAATCATGGCACACTCACAAGCCAGCATGTAAAAGAACTTGTCTCACCACTAAGCTTAATAACAGAGGTTTGGATACACGTCTTCTGCAGAAACACATTTGTATTAGACGGAACAGGCCATCGATGTGGATGACTAATTTAATGCATTTAGCTTAGTAATTTTGGAGGCCCGCGGTCAAGATTGCCAAACATTACTTGAGCTTTGTTCTCAGAAGAGCAGATAGAAACAATGAAAGTGTAGTAAATGCCCAATAAATGGGTTTATTTGATGGAAACTATACCTTTTGTTTGTGGTCACAGGGATGTCCATTCATTATGGAGTGTGGATCATGCCATGGCTTGGCACCTGGGTGAAGACTTTCGCAAGGACCCTGCTAGCTGGGCATTTGACAAATGTAATAAATGGCATGAAAGTGACAAGCTTCTTCCTGATTTTCTCTCTGAAATCATTGATTGTCCCTGCACTATGGAACAGGCCAGAGCTGACACTGGGAGATTTCATGTACGTTATTTACAATATAAACACAACATTCCTGTGGTCATGTTCAAATAACTGTTAATTGACGTAGTGATAAGATTAATCTTTCATCGCAAATTTAGTCCTTGTAAGTATATTATACAACATTGCTGACGTTTTCATTCTTTTTTTTGACAGACATGCCAAGTGTAGGTGACAAAGAAACCTGATTCTGAAACATTCAGTTGAAATAAATTAGTTTTAACAGGCATATTAGATAGTGTATAGGGGGTATGATAAACGTTTTATGGCTAAATATGTCTAAGTTTGAACTAACCAGAAAGCAAGAACAGTAACACCACAGCCTGCAGTGATCTTTTCTGCACGTGTCTTAATGCAGTTAATGCATTGTAACACTTAAGTTCCTCTTTCTCTATAGTAAAGGGCATACTCGTTGCCCTCTTAAGCAGATGTATTTCAATCTCTGTGTACACTAAGGAGGTGGAGTTGCATTCCCTACAAATGTGCAAATGTGTATGTATGTATGCATGATATATATATATATATATTGCACGATATTCTAATTATTCGAGTTTCACCTGTATATATATATATATATATATATAGGAAGATACATTTATGGCCACATGGTTGTCCAGTAGGAGAATTGTGTCATGATCATGCATGACTGTAATGGCTGTTCATACATGTTTATGACCATTAAAGACTTCCAGTGGCAGTTCTTTCTCTAAAATTCCTATTCAAACAAATGTTACCACAACGCAAAATAGAATGGTTGAAATGCTTACCCCTCTGGAGAAAATGCAATTTTACATGTCCTTCAGTTCTAGTAGTATGTCTTTATGGCTCAAGCACTACTCGTGTGATCTCTGCTATAGGAAAGGGCCAGAGTTCAGAATGGGTGATTACATGAGATCACACAAGTAAAATGCCTTGGCTTTTGGTCATGTGATAAGCAGTGGAAACAACCCGGGGCAGCATGTTCTCTAGTAAAGGTAAATATTTCAGCCCTTTTATTGATCAGTTTATCCAAGCCAGACAGTTACCACCATTATGATTGAGTATAAGTCTACTAGGCAAAGAAGGATTTTATAGTATGTCTGGACTGAACTAAAATCCAGGGACAATTTTTTTTCATGCACAAATCCTTTAACCTATAAAAACGTAAAACTTTGCATATAGAACAATTACAATTCATGTAAGTTAAATGATCATTACATTTGCAATGAAACACACAAATCTGTGATGCTTTACCAGTCATACGGTCAAACTTCAAAAAACTAATATCCACAATTATGCTACTATGTTGCAGCCAGATTACGGATGTAACATAGACACGGGAAGCACATGTACTTACCATCCTGGAGCTGTGCATTGTGTCCGAGGCATCTATGGCAGGTAACTTGTATTCCAATATTTGCTTTAATACATATTTTATTGTATTTTAATTAACCTTTTTGTGTGCATCAGTTCACACAACCAGTATAACAGGGATAATTAATTAAAACACAAGGAGTTCCGGTGAGTCAAATTTTCATAAATCAGAGGTGGGAATCGTGGTCTGGATAGAAGGTCTCTCAGTCTGTGTCCAGATCGTGGTCTGCCATTCATACCAGCAGCTGCGCTACAATGCTCAGCTGCTGGTGTGTGTACCCAGGCACAGTGCTGTTGCGCTGAACCTTTATTTTGTATTTCTATTTTTTTGTTTACTTTTTATAACTTTTTTATCATTTTTTTTACTTAACTTTTGTTATCACAAAGGAGCTAACAAGCCCTTAAGTGACAGCATTTAGAGGTGACAGGTCCACTGTCAGCCAGCCATAACCCATTTGAGGTAGGCGACCATGGTCCGGACAGAACCACCACTCGAACAGCTGCAGTATAACCTAGGTATTAGTTGAGAGTCTGTTAAAAGAATATGCAACGCTGTGGCTGTGCTTGACTACATCTAATTCATGGCAAAGAATAAGGAATGGATGCTGTTGAAGCAGGATATCCTTTGACTGAACACAATCGTAATGTTGTTTAATCTTAAAACTAGTCATTCTAACAGCACTTACTGTAGCTGTTCTGCCATGTCTGCTACAAATCTTTATCCAAATTATGGTCATGAAATTGTTGACCCAATAATATGCAAAATATACAAGCTATACAAAAGTAATAGTTATGAGATACATAGATATGCACGATGGAATAAACCTACATCAAAGCAATATACTGCTAATCATGACATTTTATTTTTCTAGTCCCACCTATGCAGCAGGCCAGCAGTGCTGTTATGATAAAGATGGTTTCCAAGTCCTTACCAGTGATTCTATAGGGGGAAGTACCCCTGACCGAGGTCATGACTGGGGCTCTCCGCCATACAAGAAGCCCCCCAGAGTACCAGGCTTCTCTCACTGGCTCTATGATGTCATCTCCTTCTATTACTGTTGCCTGTGGTCGGATAATTGTGACTACTACATGAAACTCAGGCCTTCAAGTGACTGTCGCAAGTATAAACCTCCAAAAGTTGGTAAGTAAATATTTGTGAGATATGGTAACTAGAATGTTTGTTGCCAGGTGTGTAAGGCACAGGATTATGAAGAATTACATTTTCAGCATATATCTAAAGGGGAAGCTGAACTCCAAGCACACATAAAAATGCAGTTATGTAGGGGTTAAATCATTTAATGTCTTTTTAAAAGAAACCAATGCAAGTATATGATTTGACTTTATTTCAACCTGATGTAATCTTGTGTACTGCAAACTAACAGAGGAATGAGCAGCACTAGGGCCAATCAAGTGGCTGCAGTTCATATATACTGAAAGGACAGAGGAATGAGCTTATAAATCTGCTGTTGCACTTTTATTGTCCAGTCACAGGATGGGAGCAGAAAGGTGATCTAGCCGTGTTGCAGTAGAGAGAAGTGAAGTCACCAACCTGGCTCTGTGGTCTGTCAGGGCTGATTAAATTTCAGGACTCACTGGCCAGAACCACAGATCTTTTTTTCAGGTAAAACAGCTTCCGTAAAGTACTTCCAATGTGCAATTAGCTGTTGGCTGGAGATCAGGTTTAGGTGTGCCCAAAAATGGACCCATACAACATTTATAGACTATAAGCTTCTACTGTGGTCTACCGGGCTTTATGCCAAAAAATCTGATCACAGGACTCATATTGAATTCCCCATAAATAAAGAACTGAACAGAACTGAAAGACCACATTTTACAGTGTGTGTGTGTGCTGAGTGAGGCCAGGGCAGGGGGAGAAACCGAGAGGTCAGTGTATGATTTTCCCACCAAATGGTTTTAGATGGCTGCATGTAATTAAACTCACTGCACGTGAGTTGTTCAAATGAACATAGAGAAAAGTTTACATAAACAAACTTTCAAAAGTCTGAATGAACCAAAAAAAACAATGATTCAACAAGTTTTCTATTATAATGCGTTTTGTAGCAGGTAATTGTTTGAACTGTCTGCAACATGGTGATATTGGGGGTTGATATTATGGCCTACATGGGTTGATTCAAATATAATAAAAACATTTCTTGAAATTTTGAAGTAGAAGTATAACTTATATAGTGAAGTGTTGGCAATATCTGGATTTGCTTTATAAAAAATATCTGCACTAAAACCAAAATTTGATCAGAATGTACACTGCCTAGTATGGAAATTGCTTAAATTGAAAGATAACAAAGATAACAAGATTTTTTTTGTGAGAGCCTAGAAAAATTAGCTTTCAGGAGATAATAAAGGAATCTCATAAATGAATACAATTAGCTTGACCCATTTAAAGATATGTATGTGGTTGACCCAGTTTAATATTGCTATTTATTCGTGCTGCAGAGAGACATGATGCTGCCCTAGGCACCCTTGAATGATGATTCCATTGTACATGCTCCACCCATTACTTTTATAAAACTTGAAATAAGATTGAAATATTGGAGGCAGCATGTTGTCTGCTTAATATGCAGAGCTAATTTTCAATTGCAGAAACCACCAAGCCATATATAATGCACAAGTATTGTATGTGTGGTGGTGATGGGGGGGGGGGATTACAAAAATGTTAACCAGTGAAAGCAAGAACTCTATTGGTTTTGAAGTTCCAAATGTGAGATGGCATTCTGAATCACCAGAGTGCTTTTATTTACTTATGGACAGGTTGCCAGGAAATTATGACTGACTGATCATCACAGATTTTTTCCAATGTACTGAATGACCGGTATATTCTGACTCCAAATGTTGAAATTGGGATTTATCCCTTCATGAGACCTCTGTGCCTGGCCTGTATATAGCAGATACAATCACCGCAGACAATCTTCGTCAGATAGCTGAACTCACCAAATACCTTTCATCCATGAAGATCTTTTTTAAATGCAGCAGGTTACTAGCAGACAATAGTATGTAACAGATGGTTGGAGTGACGGTATTTGCAATTCAAAGAAGGGTACTGCCTTCCTCTTCATGTGCACATGTGGACACAACATGGCTGGATCGAACACATAGGAAGAAGGGGGTGTCACATTATGCAGGGAGAGAAAATGCAGAAAAAAGAGGGCATAGTAAACAAAATAACCACAAAATTGCTGCATACCAAATATTAATACATTGAATACAATTCCTGTGGCAGCATATAAAACATTTACTATACTAATTGAATACACAACACACCAATGCAATGCATTACAATACAATAGCTTTGACAGCATACAGTATAATAACTGAATGTACACACTTGCTGTCTCCCACCAGAGTGCATCACCTGACACAATCTTAAAGCCCCTTTATTCCCTCCTCCTTACTGTTCTTTTATCCACATTTGTCCACAGGAAGCAAGACAAGGCAAATGTGTTTTTTTTCCTCTATGGTAGTGCTTATACAGTAAGTGCCATATAGTAAAAAATGTGCCACGAGCCCCTGACCATTACTTGAATCTTCAAAGCTGTTGTAATGTCATTTTTATTTTTTGTTATGTAGCACTAACCCCTTAAGAAGCCAGTGGATAGCTGATGGGCTATCCTACCTGTCCTGTGCTACCTGCCCTGTATTTGGACCAAACAGCTCACTGACAAACCTCTGGCATTATTTAGGCTCCAGTCACTAAGTCTTTTTACAGGTTATTACTGAACTTAATACGGGAGAGAGGTGTTTAGGAATGCAAGATAGTCAAAAGCACAAAAATGGAGGACAGGTATCCTGAAATAGTAGCAACAACAGGATATTTACCAGTAGTCTCTGAGTAAAAACTGGTTCTAAGAGAGCAACCAGACAAATGGATGACCCTGTAGGAGCATTACCAGTCATTCTCTCCCACTAACTGGAGTCTGTCTGTAACAGTGTGTGCCTGCTCCTGGGTAACACTGTGTCACAATGCAGTCAGTAAGCCGATAAACTTGTAGAGGCTGGAGTCCAAAGGTCCTTAGCAGGGAAGTTTATTGTACTCAGTTAGTGACAACTTTTTCACAAACAGCACTTCTCAAGCCAGCTAGTAACACAAATACATAAACAAAAAGCCTATCTCTGTCAGAGATCTATCTACACATAGAAAACAGTTTCACCCTCACTGAATAAAGGTGCCAAGCTAAGCCTTTAAACACCTTCCAAACAAACAAAACATTTTCTCAGATCTCACTAGACCTCTAGTGCAGCAGCCTGGGAGGTCTTTGTTTCACAGTCTCTCTCTTCCCAGTGACCTGTTAGCTGCATCTCCTTTTAAAACCTTCTGTACACACCTGTTTAGGTGAGTTAACCCATTTTGTAACTGAACGCCTGTTTCAACCTATTGCTAACATAGTAGCCAGCAATTACTTCACCCCGTGGCCAGTACAATCTGTCACACTGTCCCTCTGTAAGTAGTTAGAATACTGAGGCCTGCAGCTTTTTCCCTGCACCTCTGCAACACTCTTCCACAAGATCCTTCTCCAGTCCAGCTTCCGTTCCTCTACTCCGGCAAGTGGCTTAGTATCCAGGGCCTCACAACATGGTCCATTTTGAGGCCTACCCACAAGGAGAAGCCCCAGGGAAGAGAGAGAGTTCTGGGAAAGTGCTCTTAAACATGTACAATCTCCCCTAGCCTTACCACTGTCTATAGATCGCCAGGTGGTTGGCTGGACAAGACAAATATTCATAACCAAAACCAGCTGTTATCCTCCTCCACTGTTTTCTGGAGCCCCTTCCCAGCAACAGTTGGAGGCAATCGACCCACCAGGCACAGAACATTGAAAAGCCATACTTAGAAGGACTGCTTGAGGACCCAATGAGTGCAGCCTTGCCATGGGATTGGGGCTGCAGCACCTATGCAATGCGGCCATTTTTAGACATAAAGGTTGCACGGATCTGAAAAGGGCTGCACAGTGAACATCGCTGGATTGGGTTAAAGGTAAGTATAATACCCAATGGGCAGCATTGCAGGGGGTGGGTGAAAATTATTATATGACAACTGTACTAAGGTTGAGTTGTCCTTTCAACTAAGTGTTTTTTTCACCACTACTTTTTGTTTGTATTGGCTTTTCAAAATAACAATGCAAAGCTAGAAATTGGATGAAAGGTTTAGGGTAATGATACGACTTTTAAGAGTAAATAGTACATTTTTATAGCGGTCTTTATATCAGATAAAAAAGAAAAACAGGACAACTGAAAAGGAAAGATAGTTAGAAGTATTCAAGTGGGACCCAGACAGAGGGATTCAAGAGGGACATTCCCTCCAAATGTGGAACAGCTAGGAGCTACTGTATGCTTTGCAGTTTGCAATATTCGGTTAAGGATTATTATGAGCATGTTACCAATTATCTATGTAGTTCAGCCCATAAGCATGGTGAAAGTTTTTCACCCTCAGAATATGTTATGGTAGGACAACATAACAAAATGTGCACCGCAAGCAAGTGAAATGTGTGCTGGAACTGCTCATGGCTTCTCGCCGTTTTTGTTTATGCAATATCTCCATCTAGTGGTAAAAATATATTTCACTCAAATCAGTTTATAAAACAAGCTCTTTAATGTATGAGAGGAAAATTTGCTGTGAGAAAATCTCTTAATTTAGTGCATGAAAAAGAAAAACTTCAGATGCATTATTTTACATTATATATGAATAACTTTCAATTACATTTCAAAGTGTATCTCTGACCAAAGCATTTATTGTTTTTTTTTTTATAAACGTGGACAAGTGTTATTAACCCTCTACAAAAGGATGTGACTGGATTTATTTCCAAAGTGAGGGGAATTCCACTATTAGATAGTTGTCACTGAAACAGGTGTCCTCATTGGAAGATTTATCATCACCTCACTTAATCCGATGAAAATTGTGAATTTATTTCCCATACTTTTCTGTGCCAGTGAGGATGGTCACCAGGACAAATAAACAAATAGGGAAGGTGAAACTCCCCAGCTAGGACACAAACAGCAACACAGGACAGGAGTTCTACTTAACCTTCTTAGCATTATTCCTGACTGTTACTTGGGCTTGGAATTCTGTGTAAGAACTGCTAATTCCGAGTGTTACTTAGACTAACCATTTTTACATAGTACCCAAAGCTGGACACCTTAGAAGGCTTCAGGATGGCAGCACAGAAGGAGGATCAACCGACATCCATTCACCGATCCTCCCAGTGTTTTTTTTGTACTTTCTTTTATTACTATCACAAAGGGGTTTGTCAGCCCTATTATTATTTATCATTATAAATAATGACAATAATAATACCCACTGAGCCACTATATTGAAGTGAAGAGTACATAATAATGCATTTTTCTTAATGTAACTGCATTTGTTATGTCTTTGTATTGCAGCTTCTTCATTTGGGGATCCACATTTTATCACCTTCGATGGGTCTAATTTCACTTTCAAGGGTAGAGGTGAATACACGTTGGTCAGTTCCACATACCATTCACTGATGATTCAAGGCCGTACTCAGGCTGCTAAGTTTGAAAACGGTAAGCTTTTGCCACATGCCATATAAATTCACTGATGCAAATTGTCTCTGCTGTCTATAATATTGCTTCTCAGGCCTAGGTAAACACAAAAAGTAGACTAACCCTACGACTTAAGGAACAAACAGATGATTTGCGAATCTCATAAACTCATATTTTATTCCCAATCGAAAATAGAAAACATATCAAATGTTTCAACTGAAAAACTGTACCATTTTTAGGAAAAAATACGGTAATTTTTGAAATTAATAGCAACAACACATCTCCAAAAAGTTGTGACAGGGATATGTTTACCACGGTGTAGCATCTCCTCTTTTAACATTACTCTGTAAACGTCTGGGAACCGAGGAGACCAGTTGCTGGAGTTTTGGGAGAGGAATGTTGTCCTATGCTTGCCTGATAAAGGATTCTAACTGCCCAACAGTCCTGGGTCTTCTTTGTTGTATTTTATGTTTCAAGATGCACCAAATATTTTAAATTGATGAAAGGTCTGGAGTGCAGGCAGGCCAGTTAAGCACCCAGACTACTACGAAGCTATGCTGTTGTGATAGATGCAGTATGAGGTTTAGCATTGTCCTGCTTAAATATGTAAGGCCTTCCCTGAAAAAGACGTTGTCTGAATGGGAGCATATGCTGCTCTAAAACCTGGATACAGGCAGTCCCCGGGTTACATACAAGATAGGGAGTTTAGGTTTGTACTTAAGTTGAATTTGTATGTAAGTCGCAACAGGTACATTTTTTAAGTGTAACTCCAGCCAAAATTTTTTTTTCGTTTTGGATAGCATAGGGAAGGGTCACGTTTGTTTTTGCTGTCTGTTCCTGTTGTTTAGAAGATTATAATATAATAAAAACATTTTTTATTTAAAATGACACCAAAAAAAGTTTTTTCTATTGTTAATTTTATTTTATCAACTTTATTTTTTTTAATTTGTTTGGATTTTTAATTTTTTATTTATTTAACTTTTTTACATTTTTTTGTCTCTTTTTAATTTAATTTTTTTTTATTTTTTAAACTTTTTTTCTTTATTTTTATTTTAATGATGGGAGCAATAGCCAGCCTGCTATTGGATATTTCAAACTGCAATAGCAGCTTGGCTATTGCATCTGCCCACTGCCTGCTGTCAATCAGCAGAGGAGTGGCCTGAAGGAGAAAGTTCTCTATTAGGTCCTCCCATGCTGATTGACAGCAAGCACTGGGCGGGTGTAATAGCCAGCTTGCTATTGGCTTTTGCATTTTACAATATCCAATAGCAGGCTGGGTATGGCTCCCAGCCTGCAATGAAGAGGAGGCAGGGGGCAGGGCAGAGGAGCCGCGGCCGGACCAGGACAGCGAGCGGAGGATTGTCCGGACCGGGGAGAGAAGGATCGTCGGAAGAGGAGGCCGGGACATCAGCGCAGGTAAAGGGGGCAGTGGCAGAATGCAGCGGTCTGTCTCCCCGCTGCCTCCGCCAACACAGGCGCGGAGAGCAGCGGGGACACAGGCTGCTGCAGCCACAGTTCTCCTAAATGTACCGGCGGCCGCCGGTACATTTAGGAGAACTGTGGACCCCGTTCGTAATTACGGATTGTCCGTAAGTCAGACGTCCGTAACCCGGGACAGCCTGTATATCTTTTAGCATTGATGGTGCCTTTCCAGATGTGCAAGCTGTCCATTTCATACGCTCTAATGCACCCCCATAGCATCAGAGATACAGGCTTTTGAACTGAGCGGTTATAACAAACTGGAAGGTCCCTCTCCTCTTTAGTCCGGAGAACGTGGCACCCTTGGTAGCCAAAAAGAATGTCAAATTTTGATTAATCTGACCACAGAACAGTTTTCCACTTTCCATCAGACCATTTTAAATTAACTTTGGCCCAGAGAAGAAGAAGGCGTTTCTGGATCATGTTCAGATATGGCTTCTTTTGTGCATGGTAGAGCTTTAAGTGGCATTTTTGGATAGCACAGGAACTGTGTTCATGGACAGTGATTTTTGGAAGTATTCCTGAGCCCATGCATGATGTCCATCACGGAATCATGCATTTTTTTGCAGTGTCGTCTGAGGACCCAAAGATCACGGGTATCCAATATTGCGATTCGTCCTTATCAGCACAGAGATTTCTCCATATTCTTGGAATCTTTCAATATTATGTACTGTAGATGATGATATATTTAAAGTCTTTGCAGTTTTCCATTGAGGAACATTATTCTGAAATTATTTAACAATTTTTCGGCGCAGCTTTTCACAGATTGGTGAACCTCTGCCCATCTTTACTTCTGAGACACTCTGACTCTCTAAAGGTGTTCATACACTGGTCACATTTTGGCCGATTTTTAATGTACCGGCCAAAATACGCACAGTGTGTGGGGCTGTCGGCTCCCTTTCAGCTTTCCTTGATCAGCTGATCGAAAGAGCCGGCTGAAAATTTTCGATTGATCAGAGCAGGCAGCCAATGAGCTGCCCACTCTGATCAGGTAGTCTGACAGGTGCCGGCGGCACCTTTTAGAATACAATGTGAACAGCAGGATTCTTCAATCGACACGCTGTTTGTGTTGATGGAATTGGGTACATTTTTCTTTTTGTTCAGCCCGCGGGTTGAACGAAAAACATTGATAGGTGTATGGCCAGCCTAAGACGATCTTTTTACTGACCTGCTTCCTAATAACCTAATTAGTTGCAAAATGTTCTCCAAGCTTTTCCTTGTTAGTATCACTCACTTTGCCAGCTTTTTGTTGCTCTGTCACAACTTTTTTGAGAAGTGTTGCTGCCAACAATTTCAAAATTACCTTATTTTTTTCTTAAAATGGTCCATTTTCTCACTTTAAACATTTTATATATTTTCTATTGTGAACAAAATATGGGGTTATATGGTTTACAAATCATTGCATTCTGTTTTTATGTTTATATTTTGCCGGCATCTGTCAGAATGCCATTCTGCGGCCGGAGTTCATCGTGAGCGGACAGGATGGCAGGTGTCAGATTTTTTAAAATTATTAATTCCATTTATCTTCTTTTTATTTTTATTTCGTAGAGTGAATGTCATGATTGACCTTAAGGGCCTGGTAGGACTTTGCGGGGGAACCTGACACGCTTTTTTTTTTTAAAAACATGGGGTCCCTCCATTCCTACCAGACCTTAAGGGTCTGGTATGACTTTGGGGGGGAACCCCACTTTTTTTTTTCCCTTTATAAATGTAATTTTTGCTGCAGCAGATTCTATATATCGTACAGATGTGCCACTTTACAGGCAGTTTAAGGTGATATTTAAAAGAATTTTTAATTTTTATTGTTTCACTTTAAGCAATGTTAAAAATCACTGCTCCTTTAAAAACTGTATTTTTAAAAAAGTGTTTTTTGCATTGGTACATGTCCCCTAGGGCAGTGCCCAGATCCCCATACCCTTTTTATGGCCAATAAATTGAATATAAGCCTTCAAAATGGGGACATTTGATTTTCCGAATTCTGGTCCCATAGACTTTTCGAACTCTAACTTCGAACTCAATAACTTTTTCCATGTTCTAAAGTTGATTTGCAACTCAAACCAAACTCAGATGTGTTCGGCCCATCACTATTTAGGAATTGGGGTTGCATAACTGTCTATGATTTGCTTTTGTAATCTTAGGTAATTTAGGACTGTTTGTGGATTATATGTTATTTTATAGAATGAGATTACCTCCATATCCACTAACATTTTGTGCTTGGCCCTACTTAGGAAGGTTAAAAAATGTTTGCAGCAATTAGAATTCTAACCTGCCAGTAGGGTAAAAGGCTGTCATCAGCAGGTCAATGTAACTGTTTCGGGGGTAAAGGTATAAGTCAGTATTGTAGTCAACATGTAGACAATTTGCTTTGTCTGATATAGGTATATTTCCATTTATACTGCAGGTTCTTTTACTACGGTTACTGGCTTTTCTTCTGTGGCTATGCAAGAGGGAAATTCAGATGTGATAGAGGTACGTCTAGCAGCAGACTCCAAAAGTCTGGAAGTTCTCCTAAATCAGGAAGTCCTTCATCTTGATCGGACCTGGATGGACCTAAAGGGTGAGCGCGCCAGATGACATGTTTTATTAGTATGATGAATGTTGTTTATGTTATCATAATCAGCAATGGTGTACAGTGAAGTAGAACATAGACTGTACCGGTATGTAATGTCTCTATCTTTCGAAAAAATCATGTATCTTTGGCTGAGGTGCAAGACAAAATATTTGGTCTAAGTATTGCTGCACTTTAGGCAGAAACTTTTCAGTTAGTTGTTTTTAAATCTGTTAGTATAGTTTTATAGTTTTCAAACTCATTAAAATTCTGATATTCCTAAACATATACTGTACATTATTTTGTAACCAAACATTAGTAAGTAGCCGCCCCACTTTAAGATCATTTAAATCTTGACACTAATATAGACATGTGTAGCTGAATCCTCTATGGCCTGTGGCAATACATATACACTGCTATTACAAAACCATTAAGGAGCTGCAAACATTGTTCACGTAACCACTAAATCTTTTACTGAACAAGGGTGTCCTGGCTATTTGAAGTCTATATTTGTGCTACCTGATTTGTAGCCAAACCTGTTCTAATGTCTCCTGACATGTGTTCTAGCAATCTCAACTACTTTCAACAAGCTTTTGATTACAATGATGAAATGGATTATGCAGTCCACAACCATAAATATCTATTGTTGGCAGGTTGACATTATTTGTTTATTATTTGTGCTGCTGAAAGTTAGTTAAAGGAGAACTATGGGGTTAAAGCTATCCCCATAGTTCTCCTTAGGGTAACGGGAGGACACAAACTAGCGTCCTCCCGTCACCCTAAGCTCTGTGTACCGCGAGCTGCTTGCGGTATACTGAGACGCTGCAGTTTACCGCAATCTACTGCACGCGATATACTGAGACGCCGCAGCTAAAGCGGATCCCGACAATTATATCTGGATCCGCCCAGCTGCGTGAGTGACAGCTAGCTCTGCCTATCTAGAGGCAGAGCCAGCTGTACCCGCCCCCTCCCCTGTCCGTTCCGCCAGTCAGCGCTGGGGGATCGGAGCGGGGAGGGGGGAATCCAGCCTCTCCCCTGTCACGGCAGAGAGCTGTGACAGATTCAAGAGGTGAGCGAACGCCGGTATGTGTTCGCTCACCTCCCGATCTACTCAGCCGACCTGTGACAGTCTCATTGTCAGAGGTCGGCTAGAACTATGAGGTGAGTGAAAGCACTCACCCCATAGTTCTCCTTTAACAATGCTTGAAATTGCCACATTCAAGGTCAAGTATGCTTATGCAACATTTTTAGCAACATTTGTAAATCATTTTCACTAGAGTGCCAAATAATGACTGGACATTTCCTCACTTGTTAAACTCTGAAGATTATATTAACTAATAATGACAATATCATATACTGTTCTATAATTATTCTGGCATAGCTCTTTCAGACAATAGTCAAGCCCTGTTTCCAGTGCACAGCTAGATAATTCCATTCAAGGGACTTTCTTCCATTTCTCCTTTTATTCTTGACATTTTAATGTGTTTTTACACAGGATGACATTTACTGGGTTTACAAATGTAAGAATTATGATAGGTATGACAGGGGGCTTAACTAGAAATCACAAGGCCCCATAGCAACATTTTCCCTGATATTCCAAACAGCCCACCTGAGAATGACCCTGCAGAGCCCACTATAGGCTCTCGATGGTGGGCTCTGCAGGGTCTCAGGTGAGCTGGTCATACCCCTGCACACCTCTTACCTGCTGACGCCGGGTCCAGCCTTCTCCTCCACTGCTGATGTGGGCCCAGCCTCTCCTCCTCCGCTGCTGGCTGTCACTGACTCAGCAGCGACTGTGAGGAGGAACGCGCCGCTGCACAGATCACTGACGTCAGTTCCTCCTCACAGCCGCCAGTGACAACCAGCAGCTTGAGATGCCACAGCGACCCAGTCAGCCCTTGAGGCATCAGGGGATGTCCTGGTTGGGCCCCCTGTCCCCCCGGCCCCATAGAGGCTGCCTGGGTCGCTATGGCGATTGTTCCACCAATGGGTATTACCCAAGTTGACCCTCTTACACTTCTCTCCCTTCTATATCATGTCCCAGCATTCATCTTTTTTTCTACTTTGATAGCTTTTCCTTTCTGTGATATCATCAACAGGCTTGTAAAAGCCTTGCAGTGTCAGCTCCCTTTACACACTTTCAGGGGAATTCAAAAAGAGTGTGGTTGAGACACATAAGAAATGTTTCTCAGGGTTACAGGAATAGTGTTGTTATTTGCACCAAATTCATGTACAAGCCTTCATGGCATTCATGAATCTGGCTCAAACCTATGAAACTGGCGCTGGCTTGTGAGACAAACTTTGAGACATATACTGTATATGCACACTGATAAAGTACAGATGTGTCACATCTCTCTCCAAAGTGTCGCATATGTGTCTGAGACAGATTTCAATTGGGTCCTCAGTTTCAAGGAACATTGCACCTGAGGTTTGTGCCACATATACAATATGAACGTGCAACTTTGCATCACCTACTACCGAACTGTCGCAAATAACTACTTGAATTCGGCGCAGGAGTTGGTAGAGGTCCAGAAAATGGTGCAGTATGTTTTAGAATTTGGTGCAGACATTTTTTAGGCTGCATTAGCAGCAGAATTCTGGTGCAAACTCGATATTGAATTCCACTTACTGTATGTAGAGTGGGTCAGAGAGGGATGGAGATCACTGGTTGGGGGCTGACAATGCTGGTTGGGAGTGCAGCAGAGACAATGTGTTGTCAGGTCAAACAGGAACTTAGGAGCTCACTGGATGCTTGGCGGTATTTTTCTGTACTTGTTGCATTTTTTAAAAAAGAATAAAACTTAGTAAAATATGTCTGTATTTCAGAGATGTGGTGAATATTTTTTTCTATCTTGCCCTGACATACCCTTTAATCCAATGCTTTTAAATGCATTATTGTATGTTTTTAAAGCGGCACCATCCATTGATCAGAGAAGAAAAGTAATAATATGTATTTTTTCCCAAAGGGGTATTTTTATTTGCTGCCTCTAACCAAAGCATAACAGCAATGTTCTCCTCGGGGGCTGGAATTGAAGTGAGAGGACAAGGAGGATTCATAAGCATCAACAATCTTCTACCTTATGAGTTCATGAATCAAACACAAGGACTTATGGGAAAAATGAACAACGATGCCACAGATGATTTTACGTTCAGAAATGGAACTAGTTTGTCAACTAATGCCAAACCTGAGGAGTTTTTCCAACTTGGTGCCAACTGTAAGTGATGGTTACACTCAAAGTAACTTAATTCATGTGTGGTATCAATTATTTTGTTATATATGATGTCATACAGGTGTCCAAGTACTACAGGATTCCCAGTATCATGTTGAAGCCTCTGAGGTTTCAAACTTCCAGAATACGATCAATTGTTCCATTTGTGACTTCACAATATAATCCTGACAGGCATAATATATCTGGAGCTGTTATTATACAAACTATTTATTTATCAGCTAATTATAATTTGAAGCTTTTGTTGCTAGTCATTGGTATACGCCAACCTTTTGCTGCTTAATAGAGTAGTGAATGGCTTATTATACAATAACCCAGGTTTGTTCAAGAAGGAATCATTGTCATGCATTTTTCTGTATTTTTTAACACCCCATATGAGCAGGCTGAAGAAAAGATATTGTTTTTCATAGGAACTGTTCACACAAGTGTGCTATGTTCAGGGCATTGGAACATGTTTTATTGCATTGTCCTGAATTTCACCAGTGACGTGCCGTGCCTTTTGTGCTGGGTGAAGTATCCCCCAGCCTGCCGAAGCTCCATTCCCCACCCCACCAAAGCTCCGCCCCATCCAATCGAAGCTCCACCCCATCTCACTGAAGCCCCACCCCCAGTTTGGTAACCAAGCTGTGTGTCCCTCATTTGCTCGTCACTGGTGAGGCATCGAGATTGATGTCCTCACTGGTTTTTTTTTTCGTTTTTTTCATTGGACAGCTTGGACCAATAGCGCTTTTCCATTGGTCCAAGCCATCCACAGAGCTCATACCGCTAACACAGAGTTGAGGCTGCGACAGCTCTTGCCTCAGCAAGTTAGGTTACACAAGCAGTGGGGAAGCCCGCTGCTGTGTAACCTAACTTGCTGTCAAAAGCTGGATGCAGCACTGCCTGTAATTAACAGTCAGTGTTCTGTCCATGACAGGTTACACAGTGGGGAGGCTTTCCCTGCTGTGTAACCTGTTACAAGCCGATCTGAATGGAAAAAAAGCTGTCAGCTTCAGACTTGAGCGTTTCCTGCATAATACCAGGTGAGGGTCTGCCTCACCTGTCTCCCCTGACTGTACATTCTCTGAATTTCACCATTTATGTCAAAGAGAAGCCATCAGTAACATTACAAGTCTGCATGGATAAATCCTTTCACTATTAAAAAGCAGCATTTGAGCTCCAACTAAGTGAATGTGCATTGGCCTTAGGCTGGGTTCACAGTTGGGCGTTCGCATTTTGCGCGTTTGACGCACGTTTCGGGCTGCACATTTTTACAGAGATTATACAGCTATCCAGCTGTATCCTAATGGATACATGCGGAAAATACGCCCCAAAGAAGCTCCTGTACTTCTTCGGGCGTAGGGAGTTTTTCAGCGCGTTCCTACGCGCTGAAATATGTCCAGGTGGGAACCATGCCCATAGCAAATAATGGGATTTCACTTGCTGGGCGTTTTACGGCGCGTCGATCAGCGCTTTAAAACGCCCAGGTGTGAACCAGGCCTTAGAGAAGCATCACGAGAACATTTTGTTATTTGTCTGCTGCAGGCAGGAGGGAATTATCAGCCTAGAACAGTGACCATGCAATATAAATTCACACAAAGTTTGAATTGTTAATTTATGGTCATACAATGAGAGGCAAGCCAAACAAATGGAGGATATTACACATCCAGGGTTTTAAGTCACTAAGTTATCCTTGAGCCACCTTCATAGTCTAAGCAGTAGATGGTGACCCAGGATGATACCTGAATAAAAGTGGCTCTAGCCTTAAGAGAAAGAAAAGGAGGTAAAACCATTGTCAAAGGGCACTGTGATCTCTTTAATGGGCAATATATGAATTAACATTCATGTAGATAAAGAAGTAATACAGGCACATATTGTACAAAAGAGCAATTCATGCAGTTACGTATTTATGACCAAAAACCTATATTTATTTTAAAGCAGAACTCTGGGGAACATAATTATTACCCTTGCAGTGGGGCTACCCCTGCACTGCAAGAGTTAAGTATTCGTCTTAGTTTAGGGAGGTTAAATAACAAAGTTATACTCACCCGATCCACAGTATAAGTATTTGAATTTGGATGGATATCAGTCTCTTGCAGTCCCTTCTATAGTGGAGTGAAGTTCATCACTAGAAGCCAGTCAGGAGTGCTAAATGTCACTACTACTCAGTCACTACCTAATATGAGGCTAGAGGCAGGAAGGTAGCCAAATTGTATTGCTTAACTGCAGAAGAGTAAAGTCAGGTCTCCAGCCTGACTCTACTGTCTGGCATAGATATGTAAATCTCAGCATTGGATGGACAGAAATACAAATCATTTGGCAGATATAACAGCTCCCTTTTATGTATTTCATCAGCGTATTTAGATATTTGGCTGGAGTTCAGCTTCAACACGAGAAATATATCTGATACTGGGTCCAATTTAATGAGCACATAAATTTGCCAGATATGCCACAAAGCTGCTCTGTAAAATAATGTATTCTTCGTTAATAAAATATAGTTAATTAAAAAAAAAAACTACAATGCAAGTCATCTACAATACAAATCAATGACCTAAGGATTATACTAGAACTAAAGCCAAATCTATTTTTTTCGTTTTGGATACAGTAGAGAGGGATTAGAACACCTGTCACATTTTTATAGCTGTCTGTGTCCCCTGTTAGGGAGCTTCACCCCCTCTGTTTGTTCTGGTGACTATTATCACGAGAGTGAAAGTGAAACAAAATCCCAAATTTTGTGCCCAGGAAGAGAGGGGAAACCTTCCAGATGGGACACTAGCTCTGGTGATCCTGAGGCGTGTTCAGTTCCTTAGCCAAGCTCTAAGTATCTGTTCTGCAGCATATCAGTTCACTGCAGCAGCTCCACTGAATGCTTCTGCTGCACAATGCTAAGCAAAATGGCGGAGGATAATATTTTTCATAAATATTATAATAAATACTATTTTCCAATTAATTGTTGTTGTGCTCGTCCACCAAAACATTAAATTGTAGGTTCCCACACTGAATTGATTTGGCTTCAGGCACCCTTCTCCAGCGCTGCCAGGTATGCCCACGGTTAAAATGGTCGCTGGTGCTCTGTCCCCCACCTTCTCCAACACACTCAGCACTCTTCATCCCCATTCACTTCAGCTCAGAAGCTGCAAGTGCTGATTTAGCAAACTGCCGCTGAACGCTGTAACTATAAATAAAAAGCATGGAGATTTTTATGACAAAGAGAACATTGTTTAAAGTGGACCTTTACACCCTTTCACTAAAAATCACAGCAGAATTCGGCTCTGCATGCTGACTTAAAATCATTTTACATTTATTAGTTAAACAAACATGTTTTTCATTTACCTATAAATAGAGTTCATCTTGTTCCTGGTTCAGTTTTGGCACAAATTATGTAATTGTGCCCAAGTGTTGCATCCTGGGAAGGTTACATCAGCAGAGCATTGCTGGGAAATCTCATCTATAATCTCATGAGATCTCAGGAAAAGGCATTTTCCTACCCTGAGATGATGTGCATGGCCATATGTCCTAGTCACATGTGCCAGAGTTCCAGGAAGTAAATGGAGATCTAGTAACCTGCCCTTAGTAAACATGGCCACTGTCAGAAGACTGGGGAAGAAAAGAGGAATAAGATATGCAAAGAATACAAAGCCGGCAATTATCTATCAGTATGTGTTTGTAGGTTGTCATTACTAAACATTTCTAAAGGCGTGTTTGTTGTTGTTTTAAATATATGTGTAAAGGTTTAAAAGCTTTAATTCTCCATATGCAATAATAAGACATAGAGAACCCCTAAATTTACTAATTACATTTTTTTCTCTTCAGATAAATATGTCAATGTTTTTTTTTAGCATGGTTTTCTACCATACATCAATCCATATGTCAGAATTTAATTACACAAATGGAATAGTTATAACATACATTTTATTTTAGATAGAGGTTCTCACAGGCAAGGCCTTACCATCTTGTCTTGAATTGTATTGTAATTGTAATGTCTTCCTTATATTGTAAAGCGCTGCGCATTCTGTTGGCACTATATAAATCCTGTATTATAATAATAATAATAATTAGAAGAGAGTATACAGTTTGCTGTATTTTCTGTTTGTAGATTATTGATGTCTTGGGTTCACAACATAAGTGTGTTGTAGCTATAGTAATTCCCATTGCAGTTAAGATAAAGTGGTAAAATTTGTGTTCATTCTTCATTTGTTTATATCATTTTCTTTCTTTCAGGGCAAGTGACCAGTGACAGCTCCCTCTTCACCTATGATTCAAAGTACCTATTAGATAACTATAAAGTTAAACATGACCCAGATTTCTTGCCCACATTTTCATTCAAGGAAGATCCCAATGACCAATTTACAAAAGATGTAGATAAACTGTGTGGAAATGATTATTTTTGTAGATTTGATGCACTCACCACTAGATCCCTCTGGGTTGGAAACGCAACTAAATTAACGCATGGAAATTACAAAAAGTTGATCCAGGTTCTGCAACCAGGTAGGACAAAATGAGCCAGAAAATGTACTTCTCATCAAATGTTGGAGTATACAATGCAATGTTTCAAATAAATGACAACTGTTCCTTATCTTACTTTCATTTTGAAAGGAAAATGTTTGTCCTTCCATTTGCAATATACACATAAGTGTAATCTCTTTACAACAGCAAAATAATGTCAGATAAGTGTGAATAGTTTTCATTGATGCTTGAGTATATGGAATGTTCCAAATTGCCTCCCATGCTGGGACTTAAATCTGCATATTGTAAAAGAGTTTTGCATGTTTATTTCGCAGAATGACTGTTTCAAGAATTCAGGACAGAATAAAACGTAACCCTTGCAGTGAGGCTACCCCCGCACTGCATGGGTTAAGTTCTTGTTTTGGTCTAGGGCCTAAAGACAAACTCACCTGGCTGCTAGACCAATCCCCACAACCTCCCCCATCCTTTCCGGCGATGAAATGTTCCTGGGAATCCTCATGTCTAGTACACTGTATTAGATGTGATGACTCAGATTTTTTTGACCGCTGATGCAGAGAAGGAAAATGGCTGTGGTGTAGCAGCTAGGCAGGACCGAGGTTCAGGTGAGTATATCTTTGTTATTTTAGACCCTAGACCTGGGGTGCCCATTAGGTCGATTGTGATCTACCAGTCGTTAGCAAAGCTAATGCTAGTAGATTGTGATCGCAAATCGGCTCGCTGTCCTGAGCTCCCTCCTGCAGTGCTAGTGTGGCCAAATGTTTTGGACACTGCAGACAGCGAGGGGCGACCCCATCTGCAGTGCCTGACACATTTGGCCGCACTATCATGCACACTGCCCTGTCGCACACGTCGGGAAGACACTGCCCTGTGCGCACTCTGCGGAAAGACAGAGCAGTGTGCGTGAAGAGCCAGGAAGCTAGGCCACGTACTTCACCTTTAGTGCCCAGCCCTCCACCCAAATGCCACTGCTCTCATGTGGTTGGACTCTGCTCTCAGGTGTCAGGCGCTGCAGACAGGGAGGGGCAAAACAGTGACCGATGGCTGGTAATAGTCTTGGTCATCTCAGAAGGTGTCCCAAGTAGCGTAAGTGGTCAGAACGAGCACTTAACTCTTGCAGTGCAGGGGTATCTCCACTGCAAGGGTTACGTTTTTTTTCTGCCTGGAGTTCTTCTTTGAAGCAATTTACAGACAAGGATACACACAATACCCATAACTTGCATGTAAGTTTCTAATATTAACTGAATATCATCTTTTCTTTATTTCAGTGGTGTCATGTGGCTGGCTAGAACCCCCAAAGAATGGCAAGAAGGAGGGAACCAGCTACTTGGTTGACTCTAATGTCAAAATCACCTGTAACAAAGGATACATATTAAAAGGCTCTTCTTCACGCAAGTGTCAGCAAGACGGCAAATGGAGTGGGGAGACAAGTCACTGTGTATATAGTAAGTGCTTTATTACATTTGATTTTTTTACCCAAAAAAATGCTGACTTCTTACTACTGTAGGAGTTTGGTGCTGAACTCTTATTCTGGTAAACTGTAAAAACTGGTCATACATAATGTGAACAGGTCATTGATTAGAGGTTTTATTCTTCAACTATTCATTGGACAAAGGGGAAATGGGGAAATTCACTTAAGTCACTAAAGTGCAGCACTGGCTTAAATAAGAACTCCATGTTCTAAAAGAATTAACCTTGCAGTGGGACTACCCCCTCACTGCAAGTGTTAACTGCTCATTTTTCTCTAGGGGCTCAAATAAAGAAGAAATACTCACCTGATCCTCGGTCCCATCTGGCCGCTGGACCAGTCCCTGCAGCCTTATCTCCCCTGGGCTCTGCAGGCTTTGCCTCACTGAGGTCATCACATCTGATACAGTCCATTCACCTGTATTAGATGTGAGGATGCTGAGGCACATACCATAGCTGGAAAGGAGGGGTAAAGGTGAGTGCTGACCACCGCAGGACCGAGGATCAGGTGAGTATTTCTTCTTTTTTTGAGCCCCTAGAGAAAAATTAACAGTTAACCCTTGCAGTGGGGGGTAGCCACACTGCAGTGGTTAATTTTTCTAAAACCTGGAGTTCTACTTTAACTCAACAAGGAATGGTGGATCAATTATATATTTCTTAACTTGTATGTGTAATTTGAGTTGTATGCTTCAGACAGAGATTGCCGTACCGTGCCAAAACCAGTAGTCTGCTCTTATACGAATTTCTTGGCTTTATCTCAAACAACATGACTTCTATAGATACAAGCTTTGTTTTCTTATCGAGTTCTGCTCGATAGTCCAACTTTGTCACCATTCATACTGTGCAACAATCTCTCTCAGCTTATGGCCCACTTAAAGTGTATTTCCATTTTTGCAGTCAAATTTGACATTCAAAATTCACATAACACAGCATAACAAAAAATTATTTTTTAATAAATATTTCTTAGCGTTTAGATGTTTTGCAGCAGGCAACATGGCTGATTCCGGGTCTTTCTCAACCCCTTCACAGTGATCTATCCTAATAGAAAGACTTAGAACAAAAAATTGAGGATTGTGTTTCTCTCATTAACTTCATTAACATACAATGGAGAAGCCCCTCACCCCTCACAACCCTGCCTAACATTACAAAAGAAAGAGAAGCAAGTAGAAATTGTAACCCTTAAGAACCTAACACAAGTAAAAGCAATTTAAACTGCAAGACGCATTTTTTTTTAAATATTTTGTTTTAGGTTATGCAATGTGAATGGGAACATGTAACAAATATAAAAATATATAAACAATTATCCCAATCGGCTGCAAAAGGGAAAATACACTTTAAAGAACCTGTGTCCTCATACATTCTGTAGATGCAATATTTGTCAGCTTACTTTATTACAAATAGAATTAATATTTTATCATATTCACTTGTGCATGATCCTCTGGAATTTGGGGCTCCTGCAGTTTTCTTTACCTTGGATGAAGCAATATTGTCCCTCCTAAAACTGAAACAACAAAAGTATTGTAATGTGTGGACAGTTTTGATTATTGCTGGTGTTGGTGGTGAAGGGACAACATGAGACAAGAAAAAACTATGTTTATCTAAGAATCTTCTTTCCAGCAAAGAAGTTACAAAGCAGTTACATTAAGCACCAGTCTGGTATGAAGTACTTGAGCCACACATGAACTGAATTCTGAGGATTCCCGATATCTGAGCTTGCAGTGCGGCACATAAACATGTCTAATGCACAATGTTGACTTTGATGTTTTTCTTTTCACTATCACACACAGTTAATTAGTAAATTTCAATTCTGTTTATGTTTTTAATGTATGTGTGTGCTTTTGTGTATTAAAGAAGAATTATGGGGAGAGTGAAATGCATGGTAATTGGGCAGCCTTATGTAGTGTGTTGCTGGAGTTAAAGATGGATTGTAGTGTAGTACAGTGTAGTACATGGAAAGATAACTGGTATCAGTGCTTTATACATCATGTTAGTGCTATATACAGTACTCTGTACTGTATATAGTATTATTGTCTGTGCTGTATATTCACTGTCTATTCTTTTTTTTTTTTTGCTTGTGTCAGTGGCGTTACTGGTGTTCTTCCGTCTGCGTCAGTGTCCCCGTTTTTTTTTCTTCTTTCTTTTTACTTTTTTTTTCAGCAGCAGGTTGCTGCCTCATTGCTGTTCCCCCTTCTGCGTCACCGGTGTTCCCTTTTTTCTAAATTATTATTATTTGTACTTTTTTTTTCAGCAGCAAGCTCTTTTGCTGCTGAAAAAAACATCTCTAACTTTGTTCTGAGTGTCCTAAAATGTGTCCTCTTCATACAGGCTGCCTCCTCAAGCAGTTGTTTACATGATGAAGAGAAAATCAATTACCGACAATTCAAATGTCATTTCCTTTCCTTATAAATGTCATTCTTGCTACAGCAGGTTCTATACATTGTACAGATGTGCCACTTTACAGGCAGTTTAAGGGGACCCCCCGGGCATGATATTTAATTGAATTTTTCATTTTTATTGTTTCACTTTAACCAATGTTAAAATCACTGCTCCTTTAAAAACTGTATTTTTTAAAAGTGTTATTTGCATTGATACATGTTCCCCAGGGCAGTACCCGAATCCCCATACACTTTTTATGGCCAATAACTTGCATATGAGCCTTCAAAATGGGAACATTTGATTTTTTGAGTTCTGGTCCTATAGACATTGAGTTCTAAGTTGGAGTTAGAACTTTTTCCATGTTCTAATGTTCGAGTTCGAACCGAACTCAGGTGTGTTCAGCCCATCACTATCAGCTAGTTAGGTTGAAAAAATCTAAAAAAAAAAAGACCATCTAAAGAGGATCTAAAAAAAGATAATCTATAGAGAATCTAAAGAAAAGTCCATTAACAATTAGTTCATACTTCCCTATTCAGGCTCTGTCTGCTTGGTGTTGCCAGGAGTATTGCCAGACAGATTACAACGTTC